TTGCCCGTCATCCAGGCCAGGGCGCCTGCTGCGGCCGCCCGTCTCCACGCTGCCTTGCAAGGCGACGGGGCCTTGCGCCAGAATGGGCCGCCCTCTGCTCCGGCGCCGTCGCCGTCCCCATCGCCCCTGACGGTGCTGACGACCCCTGGCCGTTCCGGGGATGGCAGCGCGTATGAGACGCATCTTGCTGACCTCACTCCTGCGTCTCGTGCGCTACTGCTCTCGCAGGCAGGGCCCTCGCCTCCCGCGCCCTCAACGTGCTGCCCACCCGCGATGACGTGGCCATCCCCAGCGCGCAGTTCCGAGTCCTTCTGCTGCGGCGCTTGCGCCTCCCCCTCCCGCTCGCACCACGCAGATGCAGCTGCCACGGTGTCCTCGACCCGCTCGGCGACCACCGCACCGCTTGTGCGACGTCGGGCGTGCTCACCACCCGCGCACTGCCCTTGGAGCATGCCGTCGCGCGCGTCTGCCGTGAAGCTGGCGCGAGGGTCGCTTTCCACGTGCGGCTCGCAGACATGAATCNNAATCTTGATGTTCCTGTCTCCGACGACTAGCAGACTTGAGTGCATTGATCATCCAGTTGGAGGTGCAGTGATCAGTCAGCAGCCGTCGGTGTTGGTGGATTCGGGTGCGAATGAGACTATTCGTCCTTGGCTTGCAGATATCAAGAAAAGTGGATACACCCACACGGCCGTTGTAACGGCGAGTGGTGATCGAGTGGCCGCGCTTAGAACCAGGGATGGGGAGTTGTGCATTACGTCCACTGAGGATAGTAAAGATTGGCTGTTGAGTGTTCGTCGACTCGTAACAGCTGGTGGAACTTTCAAGTGGGATCGAAGGGCAGCCAAAGTGTTTTATCTGGACAGCGAAGGGCATGAGCAACACGTGGATGGCAGGATTCAGAACGGATTGCCCGTCCTGGATTGGGAGAGCTTCAAACCGATTCGGATCATGCTCTCAAAACACTTCAAACACAAGCCAACAGCTCCGTGCGCAGCTACAGAGCCAGCTCTTGAGTGGAAGAGTTGCCAAATGTGTGGAATGAAGAAGCATATCGCATGACAACCGAGGAGAGTGAGGAGATCACCAAAGCAATCTGGGAGTCAGAAGCTAGAGGGAGAGAGCTTTTGAGTCGTAACACCATATCGCATGAGGAGGTGTGGCGACTTATCCAAGAGGCACACCTGAGAGGTCAAAGGACGCAGAGGCAGGATATCGAGTGCAGATGTGGATTTTCGGGATGTTCTGCCATGGGGGTGTGACGGGGATCACTTCAATTACTCGTGAGCGGCCGTTCTTGACGAAGGTACTTGTCAGATTCATGAGACAGCAGTTGCCGAAGCTGACATTCACCACGATCTCATTAGCAATTGATGCCACTTTGCGTACGCATAGAGGCTTGACGAATGCTGTTGGGTTGGCAACTAAAATCACTGGAATCTCGCAGCGACGCCGTGGCGCATGGTGGACGGGGCGGGCAGCCGTGTAGGCGCCTCGATCCCCCGTGCTGCACAGGCCACTCGCAAACATTGGTCGTCGGCGTCGGCCCAGCCTCCCGCAGCGCAGACCGGGCAGTGCATGCCTTCTGGAGCATCGGCTGCTGCGCAAGACACGCAAGGTGCAAGCGGTGGCGGGCGCACGTCGGGTGCTTGAAAGGGCGGGGTGTTTAGTAAGTAGAAAGGAAACATGTAGAGGATAGGGATGTGGAGCAAGTGCATTTAATAACTTGACTATATGTTGTACTTAGCCAAGATATAAGTAGAGCAAGTTCGACTGGGGAAATGGAAGACATAGTATCCACATAGCTGAGTTTAGTAAAGACATACTATCTGGAGTATGTATATAGACAAGATGCAGGACTTATGTAGTAAGTCCAGACCGGCAAGTTAGCAGGCTTTGTCGGGGTGTGCTAAGTAACATAGCTATCTATGGCAAATGTACTTAGCAAATGCTAGCCACACTGAAAAAGCAGCTATTCTGCTCGCTGGCAGCACGTTTTATTCGTGTGCATCAGCAGGGCACTTCAGATATTTTTTATCGCATGCAGATGATTTTTACATGGTTGAAACATGAAACCCATGTGTCTAATTTTGTTGTTCTTCGTTCGATTCTGTCCACAAGTACGACTTACCTAACCCCGAACTAACCGCTCTATGTCCTTGGTATGTTCTCTATGTATATACTAACAAGCCCGCCCTTTCAAGTGGAGGACTGCTGATGCCTCGCCGGTGGTCGTGGGGTCGATGGGGTCCAGGCAGATCGCACACGAGTCCGCCTCTGGGAAAGCGGGCGGCGTGTTGAGGGAGATGTCGGACTCCCGTGGAGTGTTGGGGGGCGTGGCGTCCAGCACTGTAACGACGGACGCTGCGCCACGCGCGTCGCCACGGCCGGTGGCTGCCGAGGAAGGCGCGCTGCCGGCTGGCACGGCGTGGGCAGTGGGGTTGCGGCGGGCAGCGTAGCGGCGGGTATGCGCTGGCTGGTGCAAGGGTGAAGCAGCGGAACGTAATTTTGTACTGCGGTTCAGGCACGCAGGGTGGCAGAGTCCGCCCAAACACCTGAACCAACTATAGCTCGGACTTCAGAAGCAGGCGGCGGCGGCCTGACAGAAGAAAACGTGCAGTATGTAGCAATTGCTGAAGGCCCGACCTGAGTGCCAGAGTGGAGCCAAGGCCGAAATATGGGCGAAGTACCTTGGTTCGGTGGCCGCGGCTGCCCGAGGGAGCACCAGCGGCCAACAGTAGTGCGGCAACAAAACGGGGACTGACTGGGGAACGATGTTTGCGGTCGCGGTTGAGGCCCGCAGCTCGGCGGCCGCGGCAGCAGCCTGATGGCTGTCTGCTGTGCCAGCGGCCGGCGTCGCCACCTGAGCACAACCCGGCGGCAGCCCGGGGGCGTAAACAGCCGAAACTGAGCTGGCAGTGGCAAAAGGAGCCCAAAGGGGCCCGGCTTGTATCAATTTGCAAAAATACTGCCAGCACGACCTGACAGGGAAAGAGCTGAGTGAAAAGCACAACCTGCGGCAGCCTGGAGGCGCAGCGGCCGGCCTCTCAACTTGATCACTTGATCATGGCGAAAAACGGCAGTGAAAAACGCACGGGAAAGGCTGAGGTTCAGACCAGGAGCGCAGCCAATGGCAGCCGAGGGGCGCCAACAGCTAAGCCAAGCCTCGCAAAAAAACACACCGAGGGCGGCGCGCCGGGAACAGGAGCATCCAAATCACGATCGGGCGTATGGATTACATGGAGGAGTCATGTTGTGATGTGGCGCTCCTGTCGTCAAACCAGATGCGCATAATCCGTTTTTGAGGCGGAGATTGAGGCAGCAGCGACAACATGTCAAAGTGGAGCTCACATAAAACATATTACCGAGTGCAATCACTGGCAATCAGGAGATGTGCTTGTTCAGTGACAACGCCGCTTGTGTCATCAACTTGGTGCGTGAAGACGGTGCCTTGATTACCACGAGAACCAGAACGGTAGGTATCAGATGTTCATATGTCCGTGATCAAGCTGTTCTCGCGGGATTTCATGTTCAGCACATGTCGGGAAGCGAGCTGCCAGCGGATGCGCTGACAAAGACGATGAAACGATCGGCTCTGGAGTTGGCCCGAGCTCGCTGAACCTTAGGTGAACATCGAGATTCCGAAATGCAACCAAGATACGCTTGCACTACGATGGGATTGCCTACTGCATGTAGTGTTCATATTTGCATGTGTGGGATGCATGTGATAGTTGGCCGAGGGCTGCAAAGGAATAGTCCGGCTTCTTTCAGGCATCAATCTTGATATGATCCTTTGCTTTTGCGTTTGCGTGAGGAGGAGTGTGTTTGCACAGCCGATCCACACAAATCAAGAAGTGTACTAGGGCCTTTTTGTCAGGACCATTGAAGCATGGCTCCTGCGCAAGGATGACCACTGAAGCATGGCCCCGGCGCTAGGATGACACGCCACGCATGTGGCTCAAGCATGATGCACAAATCGAGAAGTGCACCAAGGTCTCGGCAAGGGTTTTTGACTTTCGGATTTAAGGGTTGGGATTGGGGTTCGGTATCCTGGTCTCCCCTTTCGTCCCTAACCCTTTCAGGGTTGTTGGGAGCTTGATTTGAAGGTGGTGAGTTGTGTCGTGTTGATGGTGACATGGAATATAGTTCTCTAGATGATGTTCCGCATAGTGTAAGGATGAACCTGCAGCAACAACAACAGCAGCATCAGATTATTTCACCGGCATTCAGCATCATCACTGACAATAGCCTTCAACAAACACACCAGCATTAATTGGTCTGCATACATGGCTTTGTGTAGCCACTGCACGAGATGGTGGGCCCTTCGTTCCTCTTGCTTCCCGTAGCCGCATCGGGAAGCCCGGAAACCCGCAGCACTTCCTAGCAGAACAGAGAATTTCCGGGCCCTTATGACTCGAGAAGAACAGAATGTTTTGCGGCAGATTTGCTGCCGTTTCATCGAACAAACTCAGAATCGAAGACTGGGCACGTCCGCATACCGTGATGCCGTTGGAGCCTACAAAATCGAACTTTGTGGCGGAACACCACGTAGGGTTTATTCCGAAAATCCTGATAGGTTGGAACGAGTATCCACCTATACCGATAATCACGTCCATCACAAAAGATGTTTGTTGCAGAATCCTACGTGGAACGTATCATTCGGCAATTTTTCAGGCTTGAAGACCCAATGTGCCCAAACCATGGCTTATTGCAGACTAAACGCGGTTCAATATGCGTACGTGCACCCATTCTGCATTAACCCACAGATAGGGGACGTGCAAGCGGTTAACGCATGCAAACACAGCATGCCAGGATGCAGCGACGCCATACAACTGAAGGCTGCTGCCACATGGCACTCAAATTATCTAGCGGCCGCGCACCCGCAACATCCAAGGCAAATCTGTACAATTCAGTGGCCCACGTGTCGTGGTCTACCGCATCATACCGCGTCGTCGAGCAGAGTCAAACAGTTTCAACAGAAAAAACAGTTCGAGACAAACATTTGCGCATCACATCCTCCGACGGATGTTGCACAATATGCAGGGATTTCATGTGCATTTTTTGGCAATACCGTCTTTTGATGCACACGATCATGTATGTCCCACTCCGTGAAGGGCTCCTGCAGACGGCCTGCGGTTCAGTACGACCTCGGGTGATGCATGTAACATGTTGCAACATCCATGAAATCCTGGCGTCTTCTTGTCCAACATCCTGTCAGCGACTTGCAAGGACTGTGCGCCAGGCGCGTGCGAGCGCGCTCGACCAAGGCGCAACAGCATGTCAACGGTCTGTCGGCCGAAGGTGGGATGCGGGAGCAGATGGGACGCACCGCAAGATAATTCAAATGGGCACACCGACAGGTGTGGACAGCAGCCTGTGAGCCACAGCAGCAGCTCCATTCCCGTCTCCCTGAGGCGAACATTTGCTTGTCGTGGGGTACACTGTCACAAAAGTTGCCACAAGTTGAAGCCCGTTCGCCGACTTCATTTCCGCAGCGGTAACTTCGTCCATCAAGCGCCCCACTTGACCGTGAACCCAATGCCTTCTTGCGTTTGCAATGTCCAAGCGGTCCCAATGCGGTAATACGGCAACGCGCAGGTGGCTGGCGAAATCTGGCAAAGGGAGGAGAAGGCAACTAAGTCGCTGCAAAGCCAGCGATACGAGGAGTGAAGCCTGGCTTCGAAGGCACGACCGGCGCCAGAGGCAAGCAAACAAAGGAAGCATGCACGCCGAGATGCATGCCCCCAGCAGCAAAAAGGGCGTGGACCGAGAAACGGTCAGAAAAAATTGATTCAGCGCACCTGTTCAGGGCAGGTGCACTCGTCAGCGGTCCAGGAGTCCTGGAGTGCAGGCTCCGGCACACCAAAACACACTGCCAGCAGGTTAAGAGCGAAACCAAGGGGGTTTCGAGGTCGACTCCGGCCACGCCGTGGAAAGGCGGACCGTCAGCTATGAAGAAGCTATGACCTCGACACGGCGGTCATTTTGACGGGAAACGGCGAAGGCTTCAAATTCAAGCGTCCACGGAAGTGCATGTGGACCCTGTAGGCCCCCCCCCCCCCCCCCCCC